ATTGCAGTACTGAGCGGTGGCGGAGGTGGCGGCGGTGGCGGCGGTAACGATCTGTGCCTCCAGGATCTCGTCATCGGACCGACGAGCGGTCTCTCGGTGCAGCATCATCAGCACGCGGTCGCGGCGACCGCCTCGATGGCCGGTCTCCACGGGGACCATCTTCAAAGTGCGATGCACCATCACGATCTTCACGGTAATTCGCATCACGATACCTCGATGCTGCATAACTCCAGTCATCAGCTGCACCACGAGCCGCTAGAGAAACTTAAACGTGGTGAGTCGTTCACAAACCTAAAGACGACGAAAAATTATATTATATATATACAGTATATATATATCTATCTCGCTAAATTCTCTATCTCTCGAAATTCGAAATTGGAGGATTTTTAATTGCAAACAGAGAATTGTGAGTAATTTGCTTTTCGGAGCTTGAGCCAAAAAACAAACGATAAGAGGAAAAAATAAGAATGAAGTTAATGTAATGACAAAGTAAAAAAATCTTTTTCAACTGGATAAAACGACTATAAAATCCGGTGTCTATATAAGTCGCGGATCTCGAAAACGTGCAAGTCGCATGTCTCACGCGGAATTGTGGCTAATTATATTAAATACTGTATTTATTTTTGTCATAATGAAGTAAATAAAACTTAGGCTGCAATAGAAACGATTGACTTATTGATTTCCCGCAAAGCAAAAAATTTGCATAATTTTTAAAAGTACGTCTTGCTTTTAAATAGAAAAAAAAAAAATAGAAATTATATCCGTTCAAAAAAAAAAATCATATCTTACGTACATCTTGCGCTTCACATTATGTGATAATTACGTCACGTTCTGTGATCTATACGGTGTATATATTACTGCACATGCCGTATAGTAAATACAGAAGATTACAACGAACTAAAACCGCGTTCTTTTCAGATTGTGATGAAAGGATTAGGTGCGATAACGCGTCACGGTAAAGTGGCTTCGCGAATGAGTTTGGTAATTGCAATCGACGTGCGTTCCTTTGTGTATCGATCCCGACGAGATACGGGGGTTTCGCTTTTTCCACTGTCGCCGCATTATCGCGTTATCGCGATGTAATCGCTTGTAGCTAATTTGTTGTACAGCTTGATTTTGTTGTTGGCGATATTATCGATCCTCATTTATTCGCGCGATAAGTATCCAGAGTACAGTTTTCCTGACTTTGTTAGTATCGTTGAACGCGGAGCGCATCACCGCGCGAATTATCGCGAGAATGTATCTTCGCCGAAAACTTCGCTATCACGCGTACATTATCACGAACGATTTGACGTTATTTACCAAACAAGATTGATGCGAGTGACGTTGCACAAAAAAATGGGAAACTTTCTTTATTTGTTTCCGAACAAACAAAGATTGTCCGCGACCCGCGAACAATCGGACTCGATGAAATAATTCGGCGAAAAAGTATAGGAGGACGCGTTCGCGCGTCCGATCGACGCTGATTCAAGTTCGATGAATCGCGAACATGACGCACGACCTGAAAATATTCAATTACACGCCATCTCTCGTCGCCGATAAACCTCGATAAGGAAGCAAAATTTAATATATTACACGTCTCCCCTCGTTGCGCTCTTATCGAAATAATAATCTGCAATTCAGATGCGTTTGTTGCAAAACACTCCTACTACTCTTTTCCAAGAGGAAATATCGAAAACGAACGAGAACGTGTGTTATTTCCATCGATTGTTAATCGCGTTAATATTTTTTGATAAATAATTTCGAGAAACATCGTGCGCCACGCGCAAATGCTCTCTTGATCGTTTCAAATCTAATATATACACGTTACGATTATATTGAATGTATTGAAATAAATATATATATACAGCATATTGCCTGCACAGATAAACTATTTTTTTTTTTTTTTTTTTTTTTTTATAAAGTTTGATTTTATTTTTCTTTCCAATTGCAATATCAAAAGGAGATTCTTTTGTGATTGCGAAACGACATTGATTCTCGTCAAGTATCCAGACAAGCAGTCAGCTGATAAAAATTTTAGTACAAATAGCTTTTTTTGATAATCACGGTTCCCGTTGTGTCATTCCACGCGCGATACGAAGCGACAGATAAAAACTTCGTGCTCTCACTAGCAACGTGCTGTGTGTGTGTGTGTGTGTGTGTGTGTGAAGAAGTTAGAAACTCGCATTTCTCCGCAACACCTATGCTCGTTTATTTTTTTGTCACGAGAGAGAATAAAGTAATATAAAAGATTTTGTCAACTTCCCTAAATCTGGTATTTGCATTTGTGAAAATCTTTCACACCCCCCCCCCCCCCCCCAGAAATTCTTCAGTATTCTTTATGTCGAAAGCTCAAAAAAAAAACCTTCAAAAATGTAATCTCGAAATTGAACTTTATACCGCTTTCTGTTTTATCGCAAAGTATCGTCATTCAATGGCGAATTCGGTATAAGCACACGACATACGGCGATCGCCGAAGACAACGAGAGAGAGGACGATCCTCTCTCGGTGGCAGCGCCACCACCTGTTTTGTGATTCATTAACTCACCGGCTTATCGGGATAAGGCAGACTTATCCGGGGCTCGAACCCGACACTGCGGCTAAAACCCGATCTTATTCCAATGGCATCCTACCTATTCCCGTTTCAGTTTCAGTTCTATATCCCGGCATCGCGGCGGCGACTTCAAGATCGCGCGGGTACTTTTACGAGAGCTTTTCTTTTCTTCTCTCGCGAATACGCGTCGAATTTTCTCCGCTCGCTCTCCCGACGCCGAAAGTAATCACGTCAATTCCCTCACATATAATTTGTAACCGGCGAATTACGGCGAAATCTGTTTTTGTTTCGATGACATCGGTTCGATCCGAGATCGGTTAAAATGTCAGAATTCGGTAGAGAGAGTGCAACACGCGTTGCGAGTGCGGTTTACGTTAGAAATTCTACGGTATGAAATTATTGCTTTGCTTTTGCGCAAATATGTTCACATTCTCTTGATATGAAATTTGTTTTATTTATATCCAGTCTATCTAATTTTAAATATATTCGCGTTTAAAACTCACACGCGAGTTCCGAGTTGCGAGCTATTTGTCATTCGCGCCTGATCGGTCAACAGGTACACGACACTGACAAATTCGAAGCGCTTGCAGCCGCGAGTAAATTAAAATTTCTATCGGGGACGCTACCCCACATATTATTGTCATTAATATCGCGGCGGGATTACGCCCGAGCTCTATTAATATCGGCGCGTCGATGGAAATTAATGCCAGCGTCGACCGCGATAAAAGCACAACCTCCGCGCTATGTAATGAAAATGATGATGCGAGAAATCGAGCCGATCGCGGTGGTTCGAGAGAGATTGCATGCGAAAATTCGCGCGAGAAGAATCAACGCGAGAAATCTGTTAAACCCCGTCGGGGCCCAATATTTTGCCAACAGGGCGGCATACGGTCATCTGCTACGATCCGGCGCAGACCTCCGTTAGTCATTAACCACCCCCTTTATTATCGCGCGGTTCTTGCGACGCGCGATCGGGCTAGCAGATGCGCCGAAGTCAACCCCTTGGTGCCGTTCCTGGACTAATGGTGTTGACAAATTGCGCTCGGCTAGCCTCTGGTCTCCCCAGGGGATGCACCCGCAAAAGTCTCCTCGCCGCAAAACTTATAGACGTTTAGACGTGAAATTGGACCGCAAATCGAGATTTCCGTATCGGTAAACTTTGTCGCGCAACGATTTCAACCGGTTATTATCGGAACTTTGAAAATATGTTCAAATATTTCCGCGAGAAGCGGAAATTGTACTCTGAAACTCTCTCTATGTTTGTTGTTAAAATGTTAGTGTTAGTATCTATATATCGTATCATACGAAAATATAAAACACATAATATTATGAACAAATGAATTTTGGCTATTGAAGCAATAACGCTGTTGTTGGAGTGTATATATTTAAATCCGTTTATTAAAAATTTGATAGCATAAACGCTTTCGACCTTGTATTAGGTCCTTGTCAAATGCATTTAAATTTCTTAGATAATATAATATACGTCGCTCAGTGCTGATCGAGAATATCCATGTCGCACTAGCCGTCCCGACCAACACTTTACAAGAGTGAAAACGCGACTGACTTCAGACGTATATTATCTAAGAAATTTAAATGCATTTGATAAGGACCTAATATAAGATCGAAAGCGTTTATGCTATCAAATTTTTAACCTTTTCGCTCCGGGGATTTTTCCTTTAAAATTGACCTCGCATTTTAGCTAAAAAAGTTAATAATAACCTGCTACTCCCCCCCTTCAAAGTTAATTTTGAAGGTCAAAGAAGTAACCAGGATTTTTTTCAATTTTTTTCCTAAATTTAGTGCATTAAATTGACCTTATAAACATCTATTACGTTCGCTTTTCTTGCTGGTCCATATATGGACCCGGAGCGAAAAGGTTAATAAACGGATTTAAATATATACACTCCAACAACAGTGTTATTGCTTCAATAGCCAAAATTCATTTGTTCATTGAAAATTCTTGAAGCTACGTACAATCATCTTTACATAATATTATGTATATACGCAATAATGACAATGTTGATACACAATAAATTTAATTTCGATTATGCTACTTAAAAAAATCAAGCTTATTTACGTAGCAAATTTTTCTGATAGCGAAAATAAATTGTTGAAAAAATATAAATCTCTAAATCAACAACAATATAACAATGCAATTAGCGGATGCAATTTTGCATTTCACTCTTCGTTGTCTTTCTTTGATCGTTCAGGATCGACGAACACGGTCAAGTCTTTCGGTCGCGCTGATGTTCCAGTTCGATTTTCTCGATCAGCCAGCCAATCGTGGCAATCCTTTAAGCGCCAGGGACCAAACTGGTGGGATCAACATAGAAATGAACTGATTTCCTTCCCATTATCTCAGCTGCGGTAAGGCAGGTCCCTATCTACCTCAACAACAGGGTTTTGTGTACTCAATGGGTTTCCGGCGACCGGAATATAGGCTCATTTCCGAGGGTTGCTTTCTCGAACGAACTTTCTGTGCGTGCCGATGTGTGAGAACCGAGAGAGATCGGTAATCATTTACGCGTGCAACAAATCTCACGATTGTCAGAACATCGTGCTAACATATTTTATATCTCAGAGCTAATGAGAGAATCAAAATTTTTTTTTTTTTTATTTCTAAATAATAAATAATTAATAAATTGTTAATTTGTATATATATACTTTAAATTTTGAGAATTATATATATTATTAGACATTTGTTTTGACTTTTATTCTCATCCTTCGTAATTCAATTT